TGGGGAGGCTGCTTCAGATCTGCAGTCACTGAATTTTCCTTACTCTTACCCAACTGTCTAATCATTTGCTGACAGGTGCTTCTCTCCTGCTAGACTCAGTGCCTCTAGGGGACAAAAACTATATTTGATTTATCTTTGTATCTCTAGATGTAATCTAGGCCCTGTTGTTGTTGTTATTGTTAGGTGCTGTCATGTCAATTCTCAACTTATGTAGACCCCATGTGACAGAGTAGAACTGTCCCATAGGTTTTCTAGGTTGTGATCTTTACAGGAACAGATTACCAGATCTTTCTTCCACAGAGTCACTAGGTGGGTCTGAAATACCAACCTTTTGGTTAACAGCCAAGCACTTAACCATTATGCTACCATGGTGCATAACCCAGACACTAGCTCATAATAAACATGTTTTCAATGAATCTGTGAATGGAGGGATGGATGCTATTTTGGTTACCTATTGCCACTCTGACAGGAATATACCACAGATGGGATGGCTTTAACAAACAGGAGTTTATCCATACAATTTGGAGGCTTTAAGTCTAAGTTCAGAGTGTCAGGCTCTAGAGACTAGGTGAAAGCCCCTCAACCTTGGTCTTCAGCTCTGCCTTCTACTCCCAGCCCACTGGAGCTGGAGGCTTTTGTTCACTCAGCTGCTGGCTGCTGAGGCTGAAAAACCCAAGGTATACAAGTAAAAAAGTGCAGTCCTGATATGACCAAACCACACGGCAGGCCATTTAAAACAAGTTCAATAAAAGTCCCAAGACCAGCAGAGTATGGCAGGCTGCTGAACAACGAGTCGGCTACAAGCAGGTTTCAATTGTGCCATAAGCTAGAGACCATTCCCAAAGCAGCTTTTTATATACAGGAAGCAGACCATAGCCCTAAAGCAGCTACTTACTGCTTGTGGTAGATCCCACAAGTTGATTGCCAGTCTCATTATGGGGAATAAATACCACCAGCTGCCTCGCCACTCAACCAGGCCCAACCAAGTTGACACACAACCTTAACCACCACATAGGCTAAGCCCTGCCAACAAATATATATACTTATAGATAGATATAGAGCTAGATTTATTGATTTAGAAGTTTCTATCCATAAGTCACCACCAAAACCAAAAACCAAACTCAATGCCATCGAGTCGGATCCGACTCATAACGACCCCTCCTTGGGTTTCCAAGGCAGTATCACTACAGAAGTAGATTGCCCAACCTTCCTTTTGAGGAGTGGCTGGTGGGTTTGGACCACCAGCCTTGTGGTTAGCAGTCTGCCAGCCCTAAAACTGAATCAGAAAGTCACTTTGTTGTCTTACAGTACAGGTTTTTGTTTTTTTTTTCCTGAACTCCATTGTATCAAAAATATAAAGTTTCAGCCATAAATGTAATTACACAAAATTTTCAATATGATTTAAAGTTCTCAACTATTTTTTTTTTTTGCCACCACAGAAATAATAAATTAAAAAATGCAATTAAAATTCATATTTTCTTTCCTCTTTAAATGGATTCCTGATCCATGACTCTATCAAGATCACTCTACTTTATACAGGGCACTCAGTGAATATGCTATAATACATTTTAGTTTATAACTGTCTTTAATTTTACCTTTACTTCAAGTCAAAGAATGTCTTCAATTTATTTTCAGGTAGACAAATCTTAGATCATGAAACCAACTTAGCAAATAAAAAACATGAAAATTTTCTCAATTATTTAGAAATTACTAAAACTGTATAAATCGTTTCAATGAGTTTAAGAGGGCTTCCCTCATCCCCTCAAATTTCTACCCACTTGGTGCCTCAAAACTTTGTAATAAGATCATTTTAGACACGATTAGGTAAGGACCTGGAGATGAAATTATCCTGAATTTAGGGAGGACTCTAAACCAAAATAAGTAGAGCAAAATTATAAACTGAGATACAGACACACAGAAGAGAGCAGCATGTGAAAACAGAGACAGAGATTGGAAGATATGTCTACAAGGTAAGGATTGCCATGGATTGTCAAAAATCACAAGAAACTGTTGTTGTTGTTGTTATGTGCCATCGAGTAGGAAACTAGGAGAGATCTATGGAACAGATTTTCTTTCAGAGCCTCTAGAAGAAACTAACCCTGCCAACACAATGATTTCAGATTTCTGGCCTCAAAAAAGCATGAGATAATACATTTCTATTGTTCTAAGTTATCTAGTTTGGGGTTATTTGTTATGGCAACTAATTAGCCTTTGGAAACGAATACGATCATCTATGAAGGGAAATTGAATGAAGGTCGATAATAAGAGAAGAAATTAAATTGTTAACAATACTCAAACCTAGATTAAAAAGCAAAGAATTAATATTTTTTAAAAAGCATTTAGTGATTAAATGATGGAATCAAAATTATATTTCAATTTAAAATATAAAAGTCAACAAAGTGCAAGAATATTTGGAGTATGCTGAAAAAGTAAAAGAACTTTGAGCTCAGGTAGGATAATAAAGTCTAGGTTCTAATAATATGTGTATCAGGTATAAGCAGCTCTTGGCTAGGGGAACTAATTCAATTCTTATTCTTTGGCATTCAGACTATTGTTTTGTAGATTACCTGAGTAAATTATTAAAACCAGGTTATTTCCTCTCACTTATCCAACTTTCTCCCTTGGCTACCTTCTTCCCATATGACTTTTCCTGTTGTTGTTAGTTTTCCTCAAATTGATTCTGACTCATGCAACCTCATGTACAACCTGTCATATACCACACAACTTTATATTACTATTAGGTCCATTGAGTCAGCTCTGACTCACAGTGACCCTATCTACAACAGAATGGACCATTGCCCAGTTCTGCACCATCCTCACAATCCTTGCTATGCTTGAGCCTATCATTGCAGCCACTCTGTCAGTCCATCTCGCTGAGGTCTTCCCTTCTTTGGCCAACCCTCTCCTTTACTAAGCATGATATTCTTCTCAAGGGACTGGTCCCTTCTGACAACATGACCAAAGTAGGTGAGATGAAGTCCGGGCATCCTCACTTCTAAGGAACATTCAGGCTGCACAAATTTGTTTGTTCTTCTGGCAGTCCATGGTATTTTCAGTATTCTTCACCAACACCACAATTCAAATGCAATTATTCTTCTTTGGCCTTTCTTGTGCATTGTCCAGCTTTCACATGCATATAAGTCTATTGAAAATAAGGTGGCCTGAGCCAGGCCTATGCAACTTTAGTTAACGCAAATGCTGCTGTTGTTGTTAGCAACTCTCCTTTGGTTCCTGATTCATAGGGATACCATACAGAAAAAAATGCTGTCTAATACTGGCCAATGCCATGACTTATTGTGGATTGAACTGGTGTGATCCAGTGGGTTTTCATTGGCTGTTTTTCAGAATTAGATCACGAGGCCTTATTTCTTACTCTACTTTCTACTCAGTCTTAGTCTGGAAGCCTTGCTGAAACCTGTTCAGCATCCTAGCACCATGCAAGCCTACACTGACACATGGCGGTGGCTGTGCCTGAGGTGCACTGGTCAGGAATGGAATTCAGGTCTCCCACATGGAAAATAAGAATTCTACCACTGAACCCCCATTGTGCCATTAACTTAAATATTAGGCAAGGTAATGGTAAATAGGATGACAAATCGATAATTAAAGCATTACATAATTCATTTTAAAAACAAATGAATTACAGTATATTCCACTCTTTAGAATACTGTCTTCTGTTACCATGGATAATTCAGAATTGATTTTACAAGACTTACATGGTGCATATAGAGTATCTCATGAAGTAAAATTTAATGGAGAAGATGAAAACGATTACAAATAAATACTTATATACAAAATCAACAGAAACCAGTGTACAAAACTTTAAATCTTCCAGAAGACAGCAATGATGTAGGTGGAATAGGAAGGAAGTGGGTTGAATAGTAGATATGAAGGAAATAAATGTTGGGCAAATCCTAGAGGATGTGCACAAAGAAAATTTTGGAGAGAAATTTGTTTAAGAGTTTTATAAATCCCCACCCTACAAGTTTGTAATTTACTGCCTTTAGCCACCTTTGAAGTCTCACTAATGATGTTAATTCAGTTTACCTGAATTAAACTGCCATCTCTAACATAAAGTAAAAAAGACATATGGTCCCGGTGGAGAGCTTTCAAATTTTCAAAGACTTGTTACTCAGCTTCTATAATTATAGTTTTTCAAAGGAGTTCTTTATATATAATGTTTTACTTTTCAAAGAAAGTTAGTTTCGTTTCATGTGTGATCAGAAGAATAGCTGTAATATTCATTTAACAATTTAAATTACTAACCAAAGCCAGAATTAGAACACTGTCCCTGGAGTCTGCAATCTGTGTTTTAGTCTTTTGTTTGTTTCCCTTGTTAAAACTACAGAACTACTTGTATTAAGGTCTATTTCTAAGCCATGTTTTCTAAAGTGATGAGTGAAACAAATGGAACCCTTGTTTGCCAAATCGTCCCTAATGGACAACTGCAGGAACATTTCCCTGTATTTCTGCATTAGCACATGACTCTTATTGTGGAAGAAGCACGTGTTACCATGGGGAGGGGCAAGGCACAGTGGAGTGTGTGCAGTTTCTGGATCTGCCCCAGACCTCAGTATCCCAGCACCATGTCAGCTCACACCCAGAATACCGTTCGTCAGGTCACTCGCGGTTCAAATGACTCACTTGTAGAATTGCACCCCAACTTCTAACCCTGTGGAGCGGTCAGATTGATTCATTCTTCTCTAGGAATGAATTTGCTATTTACCAAATGCTGCTTTTTCTCCTCTGACTTCCACCGAGACTGAGATGGTTGCTTAGGTTTCACATCATCCCTGGGGGACTCTCTTAGCTCTCACGATTGAATTTGTGTCTGTGTGGGGGGGGGGGGGGGGGCGGGAGTTGTTACTATTAAAACAAGCCTCTAAGGCAACTGTCCCAAGTTTCAGGGTCTGAAGAATCAGAGACACCCCTCCCTACCCCCGCCCTTGTGCCAAAAGACCAGCTCCGCCTCTCCCTCCAGGACCACCAATGCGCTTTACCTGCGCCTGGAGTCCGCCGGGGACCCGCTCGTAGGAGCCGCTTCTGCTCCATCTCCAAGTGGAAAACATGGTCAGCGAGGGTGCCTTGCCACCTGAGGCGGAGAGAATCGCCCTTGCTGTCCTTGGCAGGGAGTTGTCGGCTATCGCATAGAAGGCGAAAGGACATGAACTCAGCCCTAACCCTGCCTCTAGCGCCCTGCCCACATTCCGCCTCCACTGCGAGAGCGTCTGGGATGGGAGGGGAGAAGGAAGAGGTGGCGAGGTGGAACATGGGAGGAGAAAATCCGAGACTGCCTTGCAAGGAAGTTTGCTCCTGCTAGTTCTCAACTTTTCAATTTACGTGGTTGCTCTTAGAAAACCTGTATCTCCTCGGTAACAGAAGCTTGAAACTCTTTCCCTGTCTGAGGATGTCATTTATATGTTTGCAAACTCAGCATTTTATGCCTTTGTTGTTAAGGAGCTCTGGTGGTGCAGTGGTTAAAGCATTGGACTGCTAACCAAAAGATTCCACTAGCTGTTCGGGAGAAAAATGAGACAGTCTGCTTCCATAAAGATTACAGTCTTGGAAACCGTATGAGGGTCACTATGAGCCTGAATGGACTCACAGTAGGGGGTTTGATTTTGATTTCTGTTGTTGAGTGCCTTGAAGTGAATTTCTGACTCCTAGTGACCCTATGTTGTTGTTGTTATGTGCCATTGAGTCAGACCTGACTCATAGTTACCCCTCCTTGGGTTACCGAGGTGGTATCACTACGGAAGTAGATTGCCCAACCTTCCTTCTGAGGAGTGGCTGGTGGGTTTGAAAAGCCAGCCTTCTGGTTAGCAGTCAAGTGCCTTAGGTACTATGCTACCAGAGCTCCTAGTGACCCTATAGGACAGAGTTAAACTGCTGCATAGGATTTTCAATAGGGTTTCAAAGTCTGTAATTTTTAAGGAAGCGATTGCCACATCTTTTTTCTCTTGACCAACTGATGAGTTTGAGCCACAGACCTTTGGGTTAGCAGCCAAGCATGTAACAACTGTGCAACCAGGGTTCCTTCTTTCTAATCTCTACAGAAAATTGGGAAGGACAAGTTTCAGGATTTTGTAGAGCGAATTTTATCACAATGGCTTTAAAATTGAAATAACTCCCTTATTATTAAAAATCATTGAATCTAAATTTTACTCTTCAGATTAATTATATAACAACATAACAAATAAACAATTTTATAGAAATTAGGATTAGCAAAGAACTAAATTTGACACTTGACACAGAGAAATATGGAGATTAAGAGAAAATTAATTTTATTTTGAAATAAATACTGACACTGTGAACCCTGTACAAAGAAACAAAGTTTTATCCAAATTACTATGATGCAGAGCAGGTGACACAGATAGGAAATAGTTTTCTTTCTTGTGGGATCCATATTTCTTAGCTCCATAAGGTTGGGGTAACCCATCCAAGCCAATGTCCTGGGACCTTATTCTGCACCTTGAGCCTTGAAAGTGGTTTACTGCAGTAACCTTTAAGTCACACAACAGCTTGGTAAGTAGCATAGTAAGACTGTTTTGCCTTAGGCACTGGGCTCTTGAAGATTACCTGTGTGCAATCAGTCAGAAATAGACTCCAAGGTCAGACTAAAAGCTGTGTTTTAGGGTAAATTGATATTATATAAATACACTGTTCTGGCCCTGTTTCCATGGAAATGTTGATAAGATAGGGTGTGAAAATCCTTAGAAGTTCTTTAATCCTCAGAACATTTTTGATAATCTAGTCGAAATGTTACTCTGGTTTACAAATAATATATTAAACTACAAGCAATTTGTATTATTAACCGTAATTGATTGAACTGTGTCACCAAAAAATGTGTCAACTTGGGTGGGCCATGATTCTCAGTGGTTTGGCAATTATATAATGATATAATTTGTCAGTAATGTAAAGATGTAGTCATCCCCATGATGTGATGTAATGTGACTAGCCAATCATTTCTAAGGGGATTAAGATGGGATGCCACATCCTTATTCCAGTCATAGCCCTGATCTGGTATAAGGGGAGTTTCCCTGAGTGTGGCCTACATCATCTTTTATCTCACAAGAGATTAAAAAGAGAAAGAGAGAGAGAAGCAAGCAGAGAAGAGACCTACTACCATCAGGAAAGAAGAGCCAGGAGCAGAGTGTATTCTTTGGACCCAGTATCCCTGCTTTAAGAACCAGGGAAAATTGATGCTAAGACATATGGAGATTTCTAAGGAATGCTGGGCCCACAGATCTTGAAAGAAGACAAAAATCTTCCCCCAATCCTACAGAAAGAGGAAGCATTCCTCTAGAGCTGGCACCCTGCGTTCATATTTCTAGCCTCCTAAGCTGTGAGAGAATAAACATTTATTTGTAAAAGCCGTCCACTTGTCATATTCCTGGTATAGTAGCACTGGATAACTAAGACATTGGCTTAAAATGATTTCTGTTTTAACACATGTTTTAACATGTCTTGGGTTCCATAAAGCATTTGGTTTTGATTTATTTAGAACCCAAAGCAATAGAAAATGGAGTAATTTTTAGAATTCTGATTAATGGAAATAAAGTTAAGACAATGTAGTAATATTAAAAGAAGAGGTATCAAGGAACATTGAACCTATTTCTTGGGACTGGTGTTACAGGTACATGGAAAAGATTGAGATTTAGGACAAGAGAAAACCAGATAACCTGGAGAAAGAAGCCCAAAGGTGACACCTGAGAAAGTTGGGTTCTGCCCATAGAATAGGTCAAACTGTGAGGAAACAGACAATTTCTACCTGAGAATTAGACCAAACATACCTCATGGAATTAAAGTCCTGGGAAATTTTTACAATATTCCTTTCTTTCATTTTAGATCATATTTGGCCCTATACCAAGATGAAATTTTATGTTAAATTTTAAAATAAGCATGTCTGTAAGGAATTGAAGTCAGAGAGCTCAAGATTAAAAGCTTTGTCTCACTTTCATCTAGAACTTCCCAATTTGGGGACATTTCATTTTTATCATAGCAACATCATGATAAATGGAGAAAAGATTGAAGTTGTCAGGATTTACTTGGATCCACAATCAACATCCATAGAAGCAAAAGTCAAGAAATCAGATGTCACATTGCATTGGGAAAATCTGCTGCAAAAGATCTTTTTAAAGTATTAAGAAGCGAAGATGTCACTTTAAAGACTAAGGTGTGCCTAACCCAAGCCATGGTATTTTCAGTCGCTTGACATCTATGTGAAAGCTGGATCAATGAATGAGGAAGATTAAAGAATTGATGCCTTTGAATTGTGGTGTTGGTGAAGAATATTGAAAATAACATGGACTGCTAGAAGAATGAACAGAAATCTGTCCTGGAAAAAGTACAGCTGAAATGCTCCTTAGAAGTGAGAATGGCCAGACTCCCTCTCACCTACTTTGGTCAGAAGGGACTATTCCCTTGGGAAAGATAATCATAGTTGGTAAAACAGAGGGTCAGCAAGAAAGGGGAAGGCCCTCAATGAAATGGAATGACACAGTGGCTGCAATGATGGACTCAAGCATAGCAAGGATTCTGAGGATGGCACAGGACTGGGCACTGTTTTGTTCTGTTGTACGTTGAGTTTCTATGAGTTGGAGCTGACATGATGGCACCTCTCCCTATTTGCACTTTTAAACTACTCACAGTATGGATTCCATATTGTTAAGGATTGAATTTTCCATGACAAAAATATATGTGTCAAGATGTTTAGGCCATGATTCTCAGTGGTTTGGCAGATATGAAATGATGTAATGTGACAGTTATGTAACCATTCCCCATGATGTGATAAACTGATCAATTGTAAAAGGATTTGGCTAGGATGCAACACTCTTAATCCCATCAGCCCTGATCCAATGGAAGAGGAGTTTCCCTGGGGTATGCACTCAAGCGCCTTTTATTTTACAAGAGGTAAAAGGAGAGAGAAGTGAGCAGAGATTGATGTTCTACTACTACCAAGAAAGAGGACCTGGGAGCAAAGCATGTCATTTGAACCCAAGGTCCATGCACTGGGATCCTCCTAGGACCAAAAGACGGAGAAAGGAAGCCTTCCCCTAGAGCCAACATTCTGAATTCAGACTTCTAGCCTCCTAAACTGTGAGAGAATAAATTTCTGTTTGTTAATGCCATACATTGGTGATATTTCTGTTGTAGCACTAGATAATTAAGACACACATGTAAAAAAAAAACAAGGTATTGTTGACAGGAGATGGCCCTTGCTTTTTCAGATATAGTTATAAAAGATGGAACTTTGAACCAGTTCCATGGAGGAGGAAGTCCAGAAGAAAGCAAGGCCTAAAAATAACTCTGGCTCTAAACTTATCATTAGCTTTCCTTCCTCCTTTAGGAATCAATTCCCTCAAGAAAGGATGGTTCCTAGCAAACAGATTCAGAAAGATTTCTACAGATACTTAGCTGTAGAAAGACACCTAACTCCTGGATTGATAGGAGGAGAGAAGAATCTCCAGTTAATGAAGTAGAAGAGGTCAGAGAGATCTGTAGGTATATTAGAGAACTGCGTTCGTGGCGTCCCAGCCAAAACATCAAGGAAGAAATTCTAATAGTTCCACAAAATAGCATTGTAATGTCCTTTCTCCAATTTGGAGGAAGTGCAAACATAAAACTGCTAATATGATGTACTGTGCCGGAAATGACAAATTGAAGAGGAATAGCATGGCATTCATTGTCACAAAGAATGTTTCAAGATCTATCCTGAAGTATAATGCTGTCAGTGATAGGATAATATCTGTACACCTACAAAGAAGACAATTTAATAGCACTATTATTCAAATTTATGCACCAACAACCAAAGCCAAAGATGAGGAAATCGAAGATTTTTACCAACTCTGAAGTGTGAAATTGACCAAACATGCAATCAAGATATGTTGATTATCACTGGTGATTGGAACGCAAAAATTGGAAACAAAGAAGAATCACCAGTAGTTGGAAAATATAGCCTTGGTGATAGAAATAACACTGGAGATTGCATGATAGAATTTTGCAAAACCAATGATTTATTTACTGCAAATATCTTTTTTCAACAACATTCACAGTCACTATATATGTTGTTTTGGTTATGTAGTGCCACTCTAACAGAAATACCACAAATGGGATGGCTTTAACAAACAGAAGTTTATTCTCTTACAGTTTGGAGGTTTAAGTTCAAAGTGCCAGGCTCTAGGGGCTAGGTCAAATCCCTTCAGCCTTGGGCTTCAGTTCTGCCTCT